TGCTTGAAAAACCACCAGAATTTTCTGATGTTGCCTGAAAGCATCACGTGTGACATCATGACTGTTGAGATGTTTCATCAGAATCGTTTCATTCTACGTGTCTTCATTAATGTTAAAATAAATACATGAATAAAGCATTTGATCAAACCAGATCCAGTAGAACCAGAACCTTCCTCCTCCTGGTTCTGATCCNATAATATTAGCAGGTTTAAGCGACAGGCGATCCAGAGGAAGCTAACATAATATTAGCAGGGATAAACTTCTGTCAACACAAGGACAATTAGTGAAATCTTAATGGAGCTAAGCTACTGGTAGCTCAGTGAGCTAACAGGAGACTTGGCTAATGTACCATAAGCTAAGCTAGCCACATTCAAACGTTCTAAGTAAACCCCTAATTACATTCCTGGAGCTAACAGTAGCTAATAGGACTTGAAGTTAGAAAAACACGTGGAGCAATAAAACAGTAGCAGCGTTGTCTCGGCTCGTAGCGTAAAGCAGCAGCAGACGACTTTAAATTCAGTCGTTTCACAACATTTCTGCAGCACAGACTAGTCGACTGCGCCTCAGGCCTTTTCTATGGAGGGAAAATTAACAAGATTTACAGGAAGTCAAAGTGAACTCAGTAAATACAGTTGACAGAGTTCTGGGTCACGTCTGCTCAGTGTTGATGTGTTTCAGAACAACTTGACTTCACTCCTGAATATCTGCAGCTAGTAAACGGGTTTAACGAGTTTGTGTATCAGGCGTCTTTAACTTTGGGTTTTAGGACATGAAGCCGATGTCACGAAGCTTCAGGGGATCAGCGCGTTGAGCATCACGTGGTTGGTGTGATGTGGGTCGGCCGCTCGGACCGATTTAGACAAGACAGATGTCTAAATACGGACGAGGCTTTCATCTGAAAACGAGCCGATCTCCTCTGGAGGCCGTCGACCCGGCGAGGAGAGAACTGGAGCGAAGCAGCAGAAAGTCAGGACCGGCTGACCGGGACCACAAAGTTCCATCAGTGTGTTAGCGTTAGCGTTAGCTGTGACGGTGCACGAGTTCTGAACAGCAGAGAAGTCAAGAAATAAATCAGCATCTTGGTGGTTTTTAAAAACATGAAAACAATCAAAAGTGTCTCGTTGAAACTATAACAGTCGCCTTTAAACGTGATGCGTTCACTGACCGTTGGATTAATGT